CCCAGTTTATACAACCGGTCATAGCTTGTACAGAATATGCGTGGGTGATCTGCGGGAGGATAGTCTACCTCCTAAAGCACAGACTGAAAACACAATGCGGGTTGACCTTTGATCCTTCAAGCTAAAGCATTTGAAGGACCAGTCCATAAATTTATCTTATTAACAACAGTCTAAACTAGTCATTAGGTTCCTTGTGATTAAGGCATTCTCGGTGTCCTGGCTGATCACACTTGCTGGGTTGTAGTATCTCCTTGGCTACCAGAATAAGATGGTATAAGCTGACCAACAGAAAAGATTGGCTTTGAGAATCTTGCTAGCAACGAGGTTGATTTGTAAATAAACCCATGTTCTCTACTGTGTATACCGAGAATCATTTCAGAGTTATAGCACTGTACTGTTTGTATAGTGATTCTTTATTTAATGCAAACTTTTGTATTTTTATTGTGTCCTAGTGTTAGATTTTTGAGACCATACTGCTGTACTGTTGTGTCATGTCAATAAAACATTACTAACTATACGTTGAGTATATTTTAAGGGGTACTCAGTGGCTCTGGACATATACGTCAGTTTAATACGGCTCCATCAATTTTAAGATGAGCATGCTAATGATAATCACTGGCTCAGCTGGATGATAGTTCCGTTAATATTCCTGGAAAACATATTAGTTAAATGCATGTCTAATGATATGTCTATATGGCAGACATTGAAATAATACACCACATAGTACATAATATAATGTGTTAGAAGGATAGTATCTTTGCTAGGAAAATATTGATGGTTATAACCCGACCCAATAGTGACCAAAACCGTTACATTCTTAGAATGTATAGGCATTTGGCCTGAAATTTCCGGAAAACACTTATTTTTTGTGTAGACTATGTCTGTTTTACATGACTCACATAAATGAAACAGAACAGATTTAGCTAAATGATTAAAAAGTACACCATTATGAAGAATATCTCATGAAGAATACACGAGTAATTTTTGTAAATATTGTTTCATTTTTTTTAATGTAACTGTGAGGTTATAACTAGGGCATCATCTTAGGAAATTTACATACGCCTTTGATAATGAAACATAGAAAAGCCAAACAGCGACAAAGTAATGTTTCCTTTCGTGACGCTATACTGGTGCTTATAAACATCGAGGAGAAAAAATGGGAATGTGACACTAAAACTAGCACACAAATAGAAAACAGTATTTTTAAATAAACAACCAGGTCATCAAACGCTTTCTAAAAATGTAAAGGTTTGATTGTCCAGCATTTGCTAGCAAAAATACTATATGTAGCAGGGCAGATGACAATTCTTACTTTTTATTATTTGTCAGTAACTTATATAAATATATGCATTAAAATATGACATTGGTGTCCCGATCGTGTCAACGAATGCTTTGATGGGGAAATAATTTGGACATTCTAAGTGTCATAACCCGAACACAGTAATAGAAAGACTGCAGTCATTAATGCATGTATTAAACAGCCATATACATGTAGCTATCAACGAAAGTGGTACTCGATGTCCTCGGCGAACCTGCCTTTAAATATACATTTCAAACAGTTTATCTGATAGCTGGTTCAATAAATAACAGTGCTACTATTTAAATATGTACTGAGAATGAAAGCATTGCACTGTTCTGTTGAGATTTTGTTGAGAGATACAGCTACACAGGATTGTGTAGTCTGGTCATGTACACAACAGTACAGTGATTTACGTGACCGGATAAAAATAAAACAGACTGTCAAAGGGCACTGTCTGGGCATTGACATCATTGTACGTCACAGAAAGGAAATACGAAGTACAGCAGCTACAAACAAACCTTTCTTCAACAGCATACAGCTGCCTACCAACTGGAGAAAAGTTTGGGTGCTTAGCAGTATATTGAATAGTCGACTCGTAAAGATAATCTCATAATGCCTACAGGTCGTCACAAATCTACGGGACACGAAGGGACCGCCATGTCCACGCGACGTGTGTCACGTATGTGTAATAATAATGAGTGAAAACTAAAAACATGATCGCACGCATGCTCGGTGAATGTTAGAACGTGTTTATGCATTGGATGTTACAGCATTCAACACGCTAATGGTTTCAGTTTATTTGAGCTGGAAATACTGCACCATTGAAATATTAAATTTATTTAAGAAAAAAGTCAGTGTGGCTAACCTCAGACAACTCATAATAACTTATTAGTTGTCTGAGGACTAATATCATCATTCTATGTGCGTCAGTGCATGTTCCGGTAATAGTATTCATAATTTCTCAGTCCGAACTATAGAGGGCGCAACAAAACAAACTAGTTTTAACTAACCCACGCAGCACTATACTGGGCATTATTATACCTAATGTTTTAAGATCGCCATGTTGATTTTTCAGAACACATTCATGGGTGGCAAATAAAACTAATTAATATACCTTATGTGCAAGTTCGCCAGGTTGATTGGTCAAACTACGATAATTCAGTATATTGACCACCATTTTGTTACTACATGTACTTGTTTCAACATTTGGTATTACATTGTACAATGCTCATATTACAAGAGTATACAGCAGCAGATTGAAGATAATGAGGGGATTTGCTGTCTGGAGTACAATATTATACTATTTATGTACTTAAATAAACATGCTAGACTTTTACATGTAATACACAATTGGCAAATTTTCCCCAGTGCGACTGAGAATGGGAATGGGAGGGATGCTCTTGTTTAGAAAGGACATACCCCCGGTACTGCCATGTACTCAGAAAGTTGGTGTCTATTTTTATGTCTATTGTTGCCTTTTTGTGCACCAAGTATTTTTTTCTCTTTTCCAGGAAATCATGTCAAAACTTGTAAATGCAAGTAAATGCAACCAGTGTCTGTGGTACAGCAACAACTGTGAATATACAGAACATAAATCTTTTGTGATCAGTTTTCATTTATGTTGTGTGTTAATAAATAAATAAAATAGATATGCCCCAAGGTCATTTAGATATTTTAAATATACTGCAAAACCATACAAATATAATCAACAACATTCAGTGTTAATGTAAGCACATTCCATAGATTGTTTTATTTTCTCAGTAACAAAAAGATACTTTAAATAAAAAACAGAAAACAAGGTTAATATATTCTGATAACAAAGCTACTAAACTTTTCTTCACAGGTATATTCTGTTTTTGTATATTTGCATCTATGTGCTCATATTGTTTTAATCTATGCTCTTTAAAATACAAATACAGTCTGCATAGATTTATAGTGATGTATACCGTATTTGTTCTATTCATAGCACATAATCATAATTAACATTTTAATGACGCAATATACAACAATGATGATTTTTTGGTTTATATGCGTATCTATTGGAGATGTGCTTCTGATGGAGCAAATACGATATGTAGAGCGTGAAAAAAGGTCTGACAGTGTTCCTAGTTTTATTTCACATGTTGCCATGTGAGCCTCATCAAAGACAGACATTGTTATACAAACATAAGTGCTGAACTTAAGCATTTGCAGCACGAAGCAATAATGGGCAGACTGACTACGACTTACTGTACATATAGATCGGTAACACAACTTTATACAGGTTTTGAAATTGTTAAAGCAGTTACAACACAATATTTGTGGAGTATAATAAAGAACAGCCTATTAAATTGCCAATCTTCAACAAAGAAAATATTCATGATTTGTTAGCCACACATTCATTCCATGCCACTGAATAAAATGCAACATGTGTACCCTGTTTATTAGATGCACTGTCTCTCAGCACTAACAAATGTTACTATATATCTTATATACTTGTACAGGAAAAAATGCACCAATTCAACTTTTGATTTTTGCATCACTTCTTGATTCTATAATCAGCTTTGGTTCGGCATAGAGTTGGCTAATGACAGTCTGAAATATAATGAAAATAAAACACATAACACCCTTAAGTAAGCATGTTGGTGATGAGTAAAGTATGATATGGTTAAAGGGTCACATTTGTCAACTTTTATTATTTTGGTATTACGGGGGTACTTGAATGGCTTATTGGCACCAATCATTGGCGTACATCACCTCAAACTATATCTGATGAAACAAGTGTAAATCATCATGTCTCGCAGCACCCAATCAGAAATCATGTTACAGATCTATCCTTAGTAAGACATGCTCTAATTGGTTGACAAATCTCATCACAGGAGAGCTGCTTGAATGTGATTTGCATAGTGTCAGATGTAGTTAGAGGTGATAAACACAAGAAACTGGAATCAAATGTGAATAGAGCCTCTACATACTCCAAATTGGAATCAGATTGTCTAGGCACGTATTGGGTACAGCCATGGGGTCGCGGGTACAGCCATGGGGTATTGGGTACAGCCATGGGGTATTGGGTACAGCCATGGGGTATTGGGTACAGCCATGGGGTTCTGCTATTATTATTATATATGTTTCCAATTATGGAAAATCAGGCAAGATGTAATCACATCATTCTAAATCATTGTATAAGTGCATGCAAAGACAGTGACCTATTTTAAAGCACGGTAGTCGTCGCGCAGTGCGTGTTCAAATTTCATGTAAATAAACAATGTATTTTACAGGCGTTGTATACGTCGTTATGAGTCCCATATAGAGCAGGACGCGGCACGACGACTGCCGCCCTTTAAATTCTGTTCAGAGACTGGTAAATTCGGCATTCCATTCTGCGCAAATGTTAGCAGACCTGTACTCCTCACAGTGTTTTCTGCTGATAAGAAAATGCAGCATATACAACATCATTACAATTTGGAATATCATTTATTAAATACCCACACTAAATTGCATAATGCAGTGAAAATACTGACAAGTCAGGCACATCATAACAAACTCAGACACATGGGTTATTGCATTTCTTGTTGTGCTCCTTTGTATGGCAGTAGTGAGAATACTGATAATATTTGCAGAGATAGAACATACTAAACGGCAGTATATGTGTAATAATAATCAGATTACTCACTTGTCTTCTAATTACAGCTAAGTTCTCTTCTGCTTTGTTTATTAGACCACTGATTTGTTCTGGATTTGTAATCGATTTATTCTCTTTGAAGGAGTCACGTATCCTCCGAATTGCATAATTTCTGATGAAGAACAAACAAATACAAACATTTGAGTGAATTCACTGCTGTATATGGATTGGTATCAAGGCAAATGAAAATCTATCATATTTTTCCCATTCACCCTGCACATTTATCACAACCACAACACACATGTATTGTTAATGAGTGGCCCATCTATTAGATTATTTATGTTATGTATCATTTTTGGTATTGAATATTTATATCACACATTATAACTGCCACATTGGAGATATGAACATACTTAACCAAATATGATGAATACACATGGTGGAGTTTATGCTAATTATTTTATTAAAGAAAAGGTGCAAATAAAAAATGCCATTACCATAATATTTCCAATTGTGATGGATTTAGAAAGTGTATATTCTTCCTGAAATTTTCCAATAGAGTCAACTATTTTTCTACCAATTAAATTATTAGGTCTTGTTCAAAACACATTTTTATGGAATCTTTTTGTACTGGATACAGAAATCATTTAATTTTTCTCAAACTTTATTGTGCTTTACCCATAGATACTAAAAAACAACTTTTACATCAATATGTTCAGGGGTTTTGAAGAAAAAATTTTTAATCATATTCTGATGTTTTTCAGGAAAATAGGTAGCCAATATTCCAATAAACCTATAACAAAATGCCTAGAAATAGTTCAAAATGACCACTTCAAGTCCCATTAGGGCCTATCATATAAAATTCTCAAGATGGCATGAATTTTTTCTAGGTAAAATCATTGAAGTTTCTTATTTTGACTACAGAATTGCCTTTTTCTGAGATATTATGGTTATGCATATTAATTAATTAGGTTGAAGTGTAATAATTAGTACTTGAAATATATATATATTTAGTCAGTGGTGTTTGTACATTAATTTATATATACTATTTTATATGATTTCAACATAATGTACCCAGTATGTAATAATAATGTAATAATGTAAAAAAAATGATCATTATTTACAAATACATCTTTCACAAAATTTTCTTTCTAAATAAAGCAGTAAGGCATAACATAACATACATATTAGTGACACGCACAGATTTCCATTGAAACATTATCAGGTCTGTGCATTATCACAAAGCGTCATTGAAATTTAATGATTGGTTCTTGAGATATTGGTGGAACAGATACACATACATCCATAAATACATATACCTACACAGATGGACTAAACTAATACAGAGAAGGTGCTACCTTAAAGTGTCTGTGAAATGCCCATACCCACGTTTCCCATTTTAAATCTGTGTCCCACTGAAATGGGCAGTTATTGATTTTTTGCTGAAAATGATTACTCGTATCCAAGTAAATTTGAGACATTTCTCGTGTTGTAGCCATGCCCACCTATCCTGAAACGGTCGACTGTTTCTGGATTTCCGACTCTCGCCAAAAGTGCGCCACCAAATGACAAAATGTGAGAGGAAGTCATACCCCTGAGCCGTAATAACACTGGTCATTTAGTATACTTTTAAACGATTTACATTTCCGGTTGGAGTTTTTTTTTTTTTTTGTCTATTTAATTTTTTTTGAGAGAAAGTTTTTAGATGTTGTGTTGTCATAGTGTATGTATTCACATGTTTCTAATCAATCCGAAGATGCGACATCAGTGGACGAAAGCCACTTAACCTCAGATTAATTTGGGGGGGGGGGGGAAACTGTCCTTGTCCATGAAAAAAAAACTAGGTTTAAAGAGAAACGCCGACAACGTAAACCTGGCGCAACACTTTTGAAAGAAATAGATTCCACACCAGCCCATGATCATCGATGCGGATTTCAGAAGAGAGAGAGAGATGTCCGGCAAGTGTTTCAAATGAGTTGACTTTTATTGCGATCCTGATTATCATTTTGTAGAGACCATTTAGTCCCTGTTAAGTAAAAGGTAGCAATAATTTTGACAGTGACACGAAAACGAAGCGTCGGACAAACAGGAAATTACACAGCCCTTACACACTGCTAATTGTTTTCATTTTCGAAGGCTAAAAGTGTTTGAATTGTTTGGTGATTGGTGTTGAATGTCGAATTCACACCTCTGTTCTTTTTTTTTACCTCCATGCTTGCAGCTTGATCTGCGTAATAATTTATGAAATAAGAATCCGGGCTTGGTCAATGTGTTTACACCAAATAAAGTTTTAATATGATGTTATAATTATGACAATCATGCCATGGATCACGCTAACTCAAATCATATCTGAATTTATCTGTATGTGTCGCGATCTCGATTATTTTTTAACGCACTTGCCCTTGTTGTGACCAGACGCCTATTTCACCTATTTTAACAAAATGTCAATTTATTTCCACGCGGCTGTCATTTATTTAGTAACTGTGATTTGTCTTTTTTTTAATTACTTTATAGTGATCACTATAGTTTAATGTTTAGAATGTCAAAATATGTTCTCTTTTATTTTAATTTTGAAAGTTTTACTCAGACGATCGATGAAATAAAACAGTGTAGTGACGTGCCTAGTAACCTGCTAAATAACGAGATAATTCCAATGTCAAATTCTATTTTGTCCAGCGACATTGTACAAACTTGCGACAGTGACGATCACGGTGACCAGCTAACTCAACCCCATGCAACAAAAATTGATATTATGTGTTCATTATGGTCCATTCTTCCTAGACGAACAAGTACATAAGTGACAATTTAGTCAAAGACGAGAAAACTGCACAAGAAATTTGCCTTATTTACACGTATCGGCAATGCAAGCTTCCATGCGACTTCCCCTTCTGACGTCACAAGGGAAATTTCTGTATGCAAATGAGAAGCTAATTAGGAGCCTCGTTTTAAAATACACAAAAATAAAATTGCTGTAGACTGAGTTTAAAACACATTTTTTCACTTAAAAAAAATAATTCATGCTTAGAAACATAAAAATTAATAATATTTATGTATCAATGGATCATTTTAGGCGTGAAAATAGCAGCCATTTCACAGGCACTTTAAATTTGACTGTACTACCCAACTCAATCAAACTGGCCGCCTGGTGGCGCTTCAGTGTACTATTTGTAGAAATCGATCTCCACGATTTCACTAAATACGGAGTATAACTGATTTTAAATAGTTCAACGTACAGGTAATAATGGACGTGTACTAGTCATGTCGGAAACACAAACGAAGACATGAGTCTAACGCGTGGCTTCGAGGGGTGTTCCAGCCCAGCTATGTAGCCTGGCAATGCAGAGGTGGGCCTGCAGGCTGCGTCCTAAAAACAACTTGCTTGCAGTTACCGGGAAAACATCGATCGGCAAACCCAAGGAAGGTGAGATGTTATTATTACTGTACTTTACCTGAAATTATATCCCGTAAATTTACTTGATTCCCGTAGCATTTGTTTATAAAGTGCAAGAACTTGTCTTCTGCTCGCTGCCATTTTTCTGTCTGTAACAAGCCAGCGCAGCTCACTCAAAATTTGTAACGAAATATGTTTTTTTTTCTTCACATAATTTATCATATTCCAGTGTAAAACCATGGCGGAACAAGTATTAATAGCTTATTGAAATTTTTTTGCAATAAAGGGTATTAGACTTCATGGTGTAATTGGATGCATATTCTTTTTGTTGTCTCCTACTTTTGAACACTTTGCTAGAGGGTCATTATAAGATGGCTGCGCCCATATCCATGTGAGTTTTACTCAAATTTCTATAAAATTTGTATACATTCTCTATAGTATTACTTATTCAAAAGTCATAGTTGACGACCCTCGATTCTCAGAGTATATCTACAAAGTCTCATACCGGAAACAAGAGAATATCCACAAATTTATCTCTTTCACAATGATCGACCGGATCATTAACGCCATGCCGAAGTTCGTAAGGAGCGCTTGCCTCCTCCAATCATCGACGCTGTTGTCACGACAACCACGTTGTACCACATCTTTCAGCTCTTCATCGATGCATTGGGCCCAGCAGCTATCTCCTGATTTGGAAAAGAATGTTACAATACAAGGAAATGTCTTCACCCGCGATGATATGACAACCATCACTCCAAAAATAATATCCAGAGTAGGGACAAATTTACATAACAAGAAATATCATCCTATATGTCTCATCAAAGAACGAATACGTGATTTTTTTTATCAGAAGTTCTTAAATCAGAGAAAGAACCCGATATTTTCTATCTATGACAATCTAAATCCTTTGGTTACCACGGAACAGAATTTTGATGATGTGCTTGTACCTAAAAATCACCCTTCTCGGCAGAGTCGAGACAATTATTATATTAATAAAAATCAGCTACTACGCACTCACACATCAGCGCATCAACTTGCACTTGTGAAATCAGGACTAGATGCGTTCTTAGTTGCAGGAGATGTCTACAGAAGAGACACCATTGATTCAAGCCATTATCCAGTATTCCATCAAATGGAAGGGGTCAAATTATATAGTGAACGGGAGGTAAGTGACTTTTAAGAATAGAAAGTGTATAGAGTTGTGTCTCTCAAACATATAAAATTCCCATAATAAGTCTCCCAGTTTGGTCAAATTTAAAGATTAGTTATGAAACTTCCAGATTTTATGGCCAATGGTGCTTAGAGTTTGGGAGATATCCATAATATCCAGCAGATATTAAAAAACATGAATTATCATTATCAATGATATTTTATAAGCTTGACTTCAGTACTAGTAAACACATGATTACCACCGTAGTCTTGTATCATTTGATTGATTGACGCTACTCTGGTGGTAATCACAAGTGTCTGCTGACGTCAACCTCAGAAAAGAATGTCTTGGGATTTATCACATGCATATTTCCACAGTCCAAAAAAAGGGAAACGATGGAATGTTGAAATGCCATTGCTGAAATAACACTAAATATGAATATATTATTCAGCGTGCCTTGTATGCTAATTTTGTTGATGATCTGGTGTTCTATTTCATGCAAACAATGTGTGGCTTATTCAACATATTTTCTTCTTATAGCTAGGATTTTTTTAAAATTTCATTTGTTTTTTCAGAGGAACTAAATAGTAATACAGAATATACACACAGGAGCTTTTAATCATGCAACATTTTTATCACAATCAAATTATTTTACCATATATAAACCCAAAAGCTCTGTACAGCCTGTACGTACAATGAGAAAAAGTTAGGCAGTATGTGACATCAAACAATGTGATATGAATTTTCCGTCTGTCTTGTATTATGCCACTAGATATAGAGATATAGATGTTATACATGTGATAAATTATAGTATTGAATAATTTATTAACATTTAAAAACTCAAAATGGCAATAGAACACCATTTGACCCATCACAGAAACTGTGAGCTTGATGTCACTGGTGCAGATGAATAAATGATCATGTCCTTGTACAGCCAGCCTTCTACATACACGTAGAGGCAAGCACAAACTCATTTAAATTTGTTTAGAAGAATTTACAGTTAACAACATCCATGGCATGAAGGTTTTTACAGAAATTTATGAAATACACATGCCCTTCTGCTTCATTCAAACCCAAAGAAGACACTTTTATTGGCTGTTGAAGCCATTTGGTAATCCCCCCCCCCCTCACACACATACACACAAGTACCCATGAGTCTTTGAAGAACTACATGTACTTCTATCATTTTGCCAATTTACTGCCATCTATGCCAAACATATTCTATATATACACTGAAGTGTTGTGATTGGTCATTTGAAATGTCATCAGAGATACATCAGGGACTCATGGGTGTTTGCTATCCAATGACAGATTTCCTTTTTTTAGTTATTCAAAAATGTGAATGATCCTACATCACTCAAATTGTTTGAGAACGCAAGAAGAACAAGCGTGAAACAAGAAACACACACAATGGAAACCGTCAAACTGGTTGAATTTCAATTAAAACAAACACTGACTGAATTAATGGAGCATTTATTTGGCAAAGGTAATTAATCACACTTTCTCTCTCAGCTACAATTCAATTTTATGTCTGTCAAATGCTTGTTTTCAGTTTCTATGTGTCCAAGTACATGTGACTTACTTGTTGAAACATCATTTTTAAATTCACAGTATTTCATATCATATACATTGTATAGTTAAAACGAAGCAATCAATAAAAATACAGACAGCAGTATCTGAAATAACTTTTCCATCACTTCTGAAGCAATAATGATAGCTATTTTGACAAGTATTTACATACTGTGTGATAATAGACTCAACAATTTTAAAATGGCAGGGCAGAATTACGCGGTATAAACAAACAATATCAACCTGCTGTTTCAACCATTTGAGGCTGAACAGGATGAAACTAGGAATTTGACATAATATTTTGCATTGATTAATTGGTAGATATTGAAACTCAGTGGAGTGAAGTGTATTTTCCATTCACTCATCCTTCCTGGGAGCTGGAAATTAAATTCCAAGGAGAATGGTTAGAGGTGTTGGGCAGTGGTGTCATGGAACAAGAAATACTCAACACTGGTAAGGTACTACATGTACAATGTTAATGTACAGCCAAATAAAAACTGTGTTTCTGGTAACCCATACTTAACTAGGTTTTTTCTTGACAACCCTGTATCTTATGGCTGAACTGTGAAGAGGCAGCAAGAGAGCGCTCACTTCCTGTTAACAGTTTCATGCTTCCAAACCTCACTGGCAATTTCTGCATGCACATCATGTGTTATGGTGATTTAATTTTTTTTAAAAATGTTCCTGTATAACAGTTTGGATCAACATTAAAGTCCTTGACAATAAACAAGATTTACTAATAGACAAAGAATCCAATAATTTGAATTCACATTCACCATTTTATATCATTCATATTTGTCATTTGATAGTGTTCACACTCACCATTTGATAGTGTTCACATTCACCATTTGATAGTGTTCACATTCACCATTTTATAGTGTTCACATTCATCATTTGATAGTGTTCACATTCACCATTTGATAGTGTTCACATTCACCATTTGATGGTGTTCACATTCACCATTTGATGGTGTTCACATTCACCATTTGATAGTGTTCACTTTCACCATTTGACAGTGTTCACATTCACCGTTTGATAGTGTTCACATTCACCGTTTGATAGTGTCCACATTCACCATTTGATAGTGTTCACATTCACCATTTGATTGTGTTCACATTCGCCATTTGATAGTGTTCACATTCGCCATTTGATAGTGTTCACTTTCATCATTTGATGGTGTTCACTTTCACCATTTGATAGTGTTCACTTTCACCATTTGATAGTGTTCACTTTCATCATTTGATAGTGTTCACGTTCACCATTTGATTGTGTTCACGTTCACCATTTGATAGTGTTCACATTCACCATTTGATAGTGTTCACATTCACCATTTGATAGTGTTCACTTTCACCATTTGATGGTGTTCACATTCACCATTTGATAGTGCTCACATTCACCATTTGATAGTGTTCACATTCACCATTTGATAGTGTTCACATTCACCATTTGATAGTGTTCACATTCACCATTTGATTGTGTTCACTTTCACCATTTGATGGTGTTCACATTCACCATTTGATAGTGTTCACATTCACCATTTGATAGTGTTCACATTCACCATTTGATTGTGTTCACATTCACCATTTGATATCATTCACTTTCACCATTTGATAGTGTTCACATTCACCATTTGATAGTGTTCACATTCACATTTGATAGTGTTCACTTACACTATTTGATGGTGTTCACATTCATCATTTGATGTTGTTCACCTTCGTCATTTGATAGCATTCACTTTCACCATTTGATAGCGTTCACATTCACCATTTGATGGTGTCCACCTTCATCATTTGATAGTGTTCACTTTCACCATTTGATAGTGTTCACTTTCACCATTTGATGGTGTTCACATTCACCATTTGATATCATTCACTTTCACCATTTGATAGTGTTCACATTCACCATTTGATAGTGTTCACATTCACCATTTGATAGTGTTCACATTCACATTTGATAGTGTTCACTTACACTATTTGATGGTGTTCACATTCATCATTTGATGTTGTTCACCTTCGTCATTTGATAGCATTCACTTTCACCATTTGATAGCGTTCACATTCACCATTTGATGGTGTCCACCTTCATCATTTGATAGTGTTCACTTTCACCATTTGATAGTGTTCACTTTCACCATTTGATGGTGTTTACTTTCACCATTTGATGGTGTTCACTTTCACCATTTGATAGTGTTCACTTTCACCATTTGATGGTGTTCACTTTTGCCGTTTGATAGTGTTCACATTCACCATTTGATAGTGTTCACATTCACATTTGATAGTGTTCACATTCACCATTTGATAGTGTTCACCTTCATCATTTGATAGTGTTCACTTTCACCATTTGATGGTGTTCACATTCACCATTTGATAGTGTTCACATTCACATTTGATAGTGTTCACATTCACCATTTGATGGTGTTCACATTCATCATTCAATAGTGTTCACTTTCACCATTTGATAGTGTTTACATTCACCATTTGATAGTGTTCACTTTCACCATTTGATGGTGTTCACTTTCACCATTTGATGGTGTTCACTTTCACCATTTGATGGTGTTCACTTTCACCATTTGATAGTGTTCACATTCACCATTTGATAGTGTTCACCTTCATCATTTGATAGTGTTCACTTTCACCATTTGATGGTGTTCACATTCACCATTTGATAGTGTTCACATTCACATTTGAGTGTTCACTTTCACCATTTGATAGTGTTCACATTCACCATTTGATAGTGTTCACTTTCACCATTTGATGGTGTTCACATTCACCATTTGATGGTGTTCACATTCACATTTGATAGTGTTCACATTCACCATTTGATGGTGTTAACATTCACATTTGATAGTGTTCACATTCACCATTTGATAGTGTTCACTTTCACCATTTGATGGTGTTCACATTCACATTTGATAGTGTTCACATTTACCATTTGATAGTGTTCACATTCACCATTTGATAGTGTTCACATTCACCATTTGA